ACTAATGTTGAGGATCAAATACACAGTCCTGCGGGTCAGATTCTTATCTTTGAATCTTTCTCTACGGGCTCTAAAGAAGTCCTCTATCCGTGTCTATTGTGAATATTGGACCATGGTTGTGCAGCCACTCTCCTTCATAAGGGAGATGGCGAAACTCATCGCATCACCCGCTAAACATTAGCTAGCCATTAGCACGAGGTCCCACTACGGGATCTTTTGCGAGTACAAATAGGTATCCATTGCAGCTTCCCAGTGGAATATACTCTTTTTTTTCTTCCCCGTCCAAGGCAACTTCACCTTCATCTTCTATCTGGACTCCTCTGCTTCACCATCCTTCTCCTTCTTCGGACCCTTCCCTTTTTTGTCCCCATCATCAGCATCATCACCTCCATCTCCTCCCCCGCCTCCAATCTTTAGCTTCCTTCAACTCTTCTTTCAATTCTTCCATCAACTTCCTCTCCTTCCCCTTCATCTCCTTCTCCACTTTTTCTTTTTCTTCTAGTAACTTCTTCACTTCCTCCTCCTTCCTTTTCTTTTCCTCCTTTTCTTTCTTCGTTTCTGCCAGGTGGCGGTCTATCTCTGCCTGTTCTTCAGCTGTCAGTGCCTGTGTTGACTTACCAGACCTTAGCACTGCATGTGAGAAGAGGGTTCACTGGAACCCGAGAGGAAAGATAAAACGAAAAGAGGTCCCCATAGCACATACAGGGACAGAAGTGCGAACATGGGATAGTCATCCATGGTGATCAAAGGTGCGAGTAATTACCCTCCACATCCTCCCACTTAGACCTACCCCTACCACTAGAAACTTCTGAGTGGGTCTGAATGATGCTGATTGTTGAATACCTCCCCAAAACTATATAGATATAGACCTTTTTTTTTTCACGAGCGGACTGGTTGCTAGTCCCTAGACAAATTGAGTATGTGACAACTAGGACCAGCCCAGCAGCAGCGACACCAGGGTGAGGGAGGTACCAAACACCAAAATAACTCAGCAAGCAATACAAATCTTATGGGGGGATGCACTTCACTTCAGTGAACGTTCCGTTGATGAAGCCCCACGGCCGCTCCAACGCTCCAACACAGCAGCAGATACGTAATCACAACTCAACAAGCCACTTCTTCTTCAGCCTACCTTTCCCCCCTTCGTCAGAGTTCTCCCCACTCAACTCTCTTCCATATCTCCCCTTCTCGTCGGCCTTAATTGTTGCCAGCGATGTCCAGTGGGTGCAGCGAGCAACTGCTCCGATACCAGTTTGCAACAAACCTCACAGTTCACCACCAATGAGCGCACACAATCACACACCATGCATGAACGAGATCACACGAAGTCACACTGGAGGCCAGAGAGATGAAGACCAGGTAGCGCAGCTTTAGAATCCCAACAAATTATCATAAAAGCAATTAAGAGTTCCAGTCACAATCACTCAACAGCGCTAACCCATGTAACTCGTGTCTTCACTCAGGTAAGTATCCCTCTCGATGCTCTTCTCTCTTCTCCTTCTCAGTCTTCTCTCCGGCTACTACCTCCCTGTGTCTTCTCTCCCTACTTGTATGCACTCACACACCTTCTACTACTCAAGGACCAACTCTCGAATACACCCACTGCTAACTCTACTAACCCCTCTGATGTCTACTATTAACTACTAGCACTGGTGCAGCTATGGCTGCATTCCCTCTGCCAGCGCTGGCCAGCTATGGCTGCTCCCTCTCTCTCTCTC